GGCTGTTTACGAAGGAAAGGTCAATATTTTGGATGATGACGATAGCGCCGATGAAATAAAAGAAAGAGAAAAATGAGGGTCTCTCTACGAATGTGTTTCGCGAGTCTCGACGATTTCGCGTGATTGAGAAAAAAATCGAACGTAGTTCAACGTGTAGCCTTACTTTTCGGAGTTACGCGACGAATTTACGCGTCTCGCTTTCGGTAAACCTCGCTTGTTAACCTCGACAACATGCAGAGAAACGTTACGGCGGCGCGCTTTCACGCTGCGAGCGCACCAAGTCGACAAATTTCTTTTCCTCTCCACGATGGAGATGTGTGTCAATTTTGACAGCGTTCGACTTCGTTCCGAAGGAATAAATATGGTGGAAAAATACGCTTTATGGCGACACATTTTACTCGCCGCCATTTTGTATATGCGCAGGGCCGTCGCAAGCGTAGGTCGATTCTGTATCTTGAAAAGGGATTAAAATTTTTAATCCATTCGAATGCGTATTTTAAATGGAGAAACTTTTTTCGATTCAATTGGATTCAATTGAATTGAAGAAGCATAGAAGGACTTTATGCAACTCCTATAAATGAATAAAGAGACATTGGGCATTGAAATGGATTTAGGTTTTTAGAAATACGCATTCGCGAAATTCGTTGAAATAAATCTTTTTCAATTTACTTTAATTGATTTTGTTTTAGTGGAATGTGAAAATTACAAAAATGAGCGAATTTACTAGAATATTTATAATTTTATCGGTCAACCTAGTATATTTATTTACTGTTGTAATTCTCACTTTGTTTCAAGATACAAAATCAAGGCACTTTATGCATTGTATAAAGGCGTATTAACAAGGGGTGCGCCAAATTGAGTTTTAATCCTCTGTTTGCAATCTGATTCTTTTTACGCAGCTCAATTGTTTTACTGTTCTAAATCTTAAAAAATGTGCGAAAATTTCAGTTATTTTTCATGATATTTTAGGGAGGAGAAAAATCGAACTCCGCCCTCCTTTATTTTGGAGTGAAATTTTACTTGTACCGAAAAAAGACTCAGATTACAAGAGAAGGGTTAAAAATCAATTCCCCACTCCTAACATCAATTACACGCTTTTCTGTTAGATTTCATTTCTTCCGAAATATGTATATTAATTTAGAGAAATCAAAATCTAATCAAAATCGTCGATTTGAACAGATAATTATGTATTTGTCGAGGTTATTGAAATTTGTCGGTACATGTCATATACATATTTAGATTTAATTTCTTCCGAAATATATGTATATTAATTTAGAGAAACCAAAATCTAATAATAAAATCAAAATCGTCGATTTGAACAGATAATTATGACCATCAAGAATATCAATAATTTTTCTAGAGCGGAAATGTGAAAAATTTCTCTGTTAATATCAATGATAGAAACGTTCACTTTTTACATTCCGTTCTAGGATAAAAGTGACATGATCCAATTGCACGTTTTCTTAAGATATAAAAAAAAAAAATGATTCAAAATCATCTTATTTAAAAAATTGGTAAATAAAAATTAAGAAGAGCAACAAATCTTCTTTACACAAAGGCGCCTTATGTACCAGCGGCGGGCCTGTGTATGCGTGATATCATTTAAATTAGCAGTAGGATTTAGATTATAAAGTTATCGGAGCAATTGTATGAGCATTGTCGTAAATCACCGCCTTTTGCAGTCACCCTTTAATAATTACGAACGTAAGCGTTGCGTGCGCCATTATATTTATATTTTCGGGCGAAGGAACACGATTTCGACTTGCGTGCGCACGCATAAACTTGCGTTCTTTTTAAGTGCACTTCGTACGAGTTGAATAAATAAAAATAGAGACCGAAAAATTGCGAAGTAAAAAAAAAAATTAAATAGAAGTAATTAAAACTTCACTCGATTCCTAAAAAAAAAAAAAATCTTGATTATGTTGCAGGTGGAAATCAACGTGAACTAGCACGAGCCAAGAATTTGAAAAAAACCGTAAAGAAGGCAGCGTCGGAACAAGACAGCAATAAAGGTCTTTCCTTAGAACAACGTAAAGCACGGTACGTCTTCTGAATATATCTCTTCCTCTTTCTATTCGTGAAAATTGATAGGCTTACTTAGAAATAATAATGGCTTACAAGCTGGATATTTATTGCTAAAATTTATATTATTGTAATAAATTGATATAATTTTTATACTGGACGTGTGTGTGTACATTTTTTTTTACAGCGACGCGGAACGAATGAGAGAGAAACAACTTAAGAAACAGCAGGGTGAACCAGCAGACAAGTCCAAGCAAGCAGCGAGATAATTCGACGAGAAAAGTGTATAAATTTTTATGATAAGAACGGCTATATCACGCAACCAATGACTACGTTAAAAAAGATTCACGACTGTAAGATACACATACGTCGATGATTACCGGAGGCAGAAAAATGAATCACCATGTCTTTGATGTTAGAGAATTTTTCCATTGTCGGCCGTACGCAGGAATGTCAACCGTATGACATACCTCAGGACCTAGCCTCGATTATCTTGTTATTTACACGTTGCTCACGATAACAGTTATAATCAGTGTGTACAAACTTGACGTTACCTACACCTAAATTCAGTCAAAGAAAATACACGTTTGACTGGTTTCTCTAGGTATAAGGATATTAAATAATACGATATATTTGTAGTACTAATTTCCAATCTGTAAAAATTCAAACTTTCACTTATTTAATATGTTATGTAATTAACTGTAACAAGCGAACGATCATTAGACACATGTGTTATTATCGTTCCCTCTCGCTTATAATAAACTGTTCAAATTTTAACAATACTCGTAATATAATTCTTAAATCTTTCGTCCTACCCGAATTAATGATATATAATGCTAATTGTAATGATATCGCTATACTATGATAAATCAGCAGTCGTTTAGTGATAGTTTAAATATAATTTTATATAATTAAATCTAAATTATTAAACGATGAGAGAGAAAATGAAGTTTGTACAATCTTATTTCCCACATTTTTATTGCACTTTCCCAAAAAGAGTACATTTTCTTAACGCACTAATTTTAATTGCGTTTTCATAATTTCGCTTTAATCACAAATATTCGTATTAACATTGAGTTGAATGAGAATGGTGTACAACGTGATTCGATAAATGTTATAACGGTGGAAGACCGAATCTTAATTGCTAATATGGAGAGAGAGAGAGAGAGAGAGAGAGAGAGAGAGAGAGAGAGAGAGAGAGAGGAAAAAAAGAATGTACACTATACTAAGTGACGAACGTATTGTCTAGCCTCTAAAGACCAAAACCTTCGTTAAAGTAGCATGGATCTCTGCAATCTGGGAAAATGTCGAAATTCAATTCTTTTATTTTCGAATGGCTATTGTATTTCAGATTTAATAGGCTGTATTTTTTCGCGTTCTATATATATAACACATCTATAAGCAGGAACGTACCACTCGAATCTTTTTTTTCTTTGTTTGACTTCAAGTTTAGTAATATGCGAGGAACAGCGCACTATATTGAGCATTCACTTAATTATAATAGTATACTACTAATATAAGATAGTTTATTTGAAGAATTTACATGTGATACTTTAATATTACGTTACGTGACGTTGAGAATCCATATAACGTAAAAAATTGCCCTTCCAGATGTATTCGGCTATTGAGTAAAACTAACACACGCGCGCATGTGAGTTGGTATAGATTATATATTTATATAAAATAGAGACATGTGCGATCTTTTGCCGATTTCTTTTCACCCACAATTAACTTTACAATGTAGTTAATTTGTATTTCCAGTTTTGTTGTTTTCATTAATGACTTAATTTAAGACAATAAGAAGCTGTTCTCTCTTGTAAGTAAAAAATTGATATTAAAATATATGATTCTGTGTATTAATTTATCTCTGTTAAATTCACAATTGATTTAAAAAAATGCTTGATGCTTTCATTAAGGAATTTAATTGTCTTCGATATAAAATTTAATTAACGTATTAAACTCGTCACTATTTAAATTGAGTTTCGACTCTGAGCCTTATAATAGTGTCTCAAGTTCCATAATACCTTAATAATAATACAATTATCTAAAAATGGGCGGCAAAATGTTGCTTCTATTCCTCCGTATTCTTTCCGTTAAATGGTCAATGTCTTTACAAAATTCTCCGTATACACATGCAATTTTTATAATTATATAATATTACAGTAAATATTATCTTATATATCTATTTTCGATGATGCAATGTTTCTTCTTGCATATGAACAAATATAATCGGTAATGTGATGATTTTGGGAATACACAACAATAATTTCGAAAATTCTGAAGGAAAATTACATTTAAAATTACAGCATTACGGAAAAAATACCGATTGAGCTTATTTAGTTAATGTATGTGTGTATTGCGACTTATCATTACAACACTATATTTGTAACAATAGCACCATATTTGTATTGTTCATAGGTAAATTATATTTTAGAAGTTGAACAAATTCATGCATATGTAGCATGTTGCTTGTCTGTTATGTTTGGAAAAAAATTATATCACATCGATTCTCTTATGTTAAAATATTAAAAATTGCAAGTAAGAATCTATTTTAAATAAATTTGATGAGTCTAATAACATGAATGTCCATAGCATCTCTTTACCGCGCATTATATAATTAATTATCTAATTAAATAATAGAAAATGTTTTGTACTTTAAAATTATGTTCTGTTTAATACGTAATAGCAAAGGTTCAAACCTCATTAATTTCTTAATTATATATATGAAGATTTCGAAAATATATTAAAATTTGCATAAATTGCATGTCACATAATTTTGAAAAACTTAAAAAATTGCATTGAAAGAATTGAATATATTAAA